ATATATGGTATAGAGAGAGAGAGAGAGAGAGAGAGAGAGAGAGAGAGAGAGAGAGAGAGAGAGAGGTGTGTGTGTGTGTGTGTGTGTGTGTGTGTGTGTGTGTGTGTGTGTATGCAGTATATATATTTTTTTCTTTTGCATATTCTTTCCTGTGCTTGCGAGGGTTTTCTCCGAGTACTTCAGCTTCCTCCCATTTTCCTGATACATGAATGTCAGGTGAGATATGGCTTCAGTAACTCATGAACCTAATGAGGATGAGCAGTACAGGGGAAATTCTATGACAGACATACAATATACTGTACATACTTTTTCCATTTGCAAAAACCGTAGTGCGATGTGAAAGCCAGAAGATCCCCAATTCCAAATGTATCCACAACGATTTTGGGCTCTAACTATATCATTTATACAGAAACAGTTGCTTTTGTATTCTGAAATAACTACAGATGAATTTTTAACACATACACAAAAAGAAAAACATTTTTCATCCATTCATCAGAGCCATTTGTTGACATACTCTTTTTCTACTGTTTTTGGTCTGATAATTAACTGTACTGTTTGGTCAAACACAGTTTTAAAACAACACGTTTTCCAATGTAGAATTTATTGTCTTCAAACTGAAGCAGAATACATTGAACAGAAACATCACAAATAAATTTAAATCCTTCACAAAGTGTATGCCTCATGCCTTTCTGTCACACATATTGTTCCAGGCAAAGTGTTGTGGTTGCCATTCTGGATCAAGACAAAGTGAGAGATTTGCAATTGTAAACACCCACATCCCCATCATACTCTGGAGCAGTGGTTCTTAACCTTGTTGGAGGTACCGAACCCAACCAGTTCATATGCACATTCATCGAACCCTTCATTAATGAAAAACAAAAATGACTTTTTACAAATTCAAGACATAAAAAACGCATTTATTAAAAACAGAAAAAAAGTAAATAGGATTTCAAGACATAAGTATAAGTTTTTTTGGTTATTATTTTACGACGTACTATCACAACAGTCACACGTTGACCACTGAGTGAACTAAATTTCCCGCAGTAGTGATTGGACAAGCAATGTAATGTGATCATCTGCAGCCGGTGGTGTCCAAGCGGGTGTGTCATAACTGATTGACATGTTGAGTCAAGTGTGCCTGAACCTCCATGGCAGAAGCTCCGTCGAACCACTGAGACCAATTGACTGAACCCAGGTTAAGAACCACTGCTCTGGAGAAACATACCATGCACAATCCACATGATACACAACAGCACAATTTTATGTCTTTAGGCACAAGACAAGCTGCAGGCAATTGTTGCTTTAATTGTAAATCAAAAACCATTGCATATTATGGTTCGACAGTCAGTCACATTGATCTTTTTTTTTATTTTTATTTTTTTAAAGAACTCAACACAACCTTATTAATACAGCATTTTCACAACATGTTCAGTAAGGCTAGAAGCATCTGTGACCTTCACTGGAATTGTGGGAATACACTCGACAACTTTCTTTAACATCTACATTTTACAAAACAACACCTGACCATCACCTGTCAGTCTTTTTTTTTCTCTGCTGTTTTGGCTTGTTCAACATCTCCATTTTCTGGGGACTAGATTCCATTAAGGCAGTGTTTAAATATCTGGCCTGAACTGCTCATTGGTGTTGCTGTCTCGAAATGAACACCACCAGGCTTCCTCCGTCCACCAAGCAGTCTCAAGTAAAGCTGTCTTCTCAGTTTCAGCACTGCTCTTCCCCCAATGAGGCCCGAATGTCACTCAGGTCTAAGGAGTCCGCTGGTATGGGTGTTTTCCTGCCGCTCTTAAGGCTCTGGCTGGAATAGACCTCGACAGACTTAGAAATGGAGTGCACCAACGGCTCTCGGAAATATTCAAAAGCCTCTCTTGCGTGTTCCTCTCGAATGCTCTGCTCAAAGGTCTTGCGCTTGTGCCTGAATTCAATGACAGTTTTTGTGTAGGAGTTGAGTGTGGTTACCGATGCACCCATGCAGCAGGTGAAGGATGCCCAGGCCATGCTAATATAATATGACAGACACACACACACACACACACACACACACACACACACACACACACACAAAAGAGAGTTAGTTACCAGTTTTAACCTCCGGGTAAAAGGTGGCAAGTGCTCAATCCAAATCGCATTTTGATACCCACCCCCCTTAATATCGTCACAGTGTGTTTGCCTAGATTAGTGTCAATCCCTTTAAGTCCCTCTGCTCTCCTCAAGTAAAGCGGGTCATGTGTGAGGTCAGACAATCAAATCATCATTCGTGTACTGATCGCCCAGGTTGGACTGATGCTTCTAAAAGGTCAAAAATTGTTTCGGCTCACAGATTAATTTTTCACACACTGCACGTATTGTCAAGGCGTGAAATATCATCCCCTTATGCAATCCCAATCGCGCCTGTAACGGGGCTTTGGCATCAAAGCCTAATCCTGAATAACATGGAGCTTTGTTTTTTTTTTGTTTTTTTTTTCATTAGTGACAGTGATGCAGAAGAGAGGTGAGAGTGGACCTAAGAGAAGTGGTTGCATGGATTGTTTTTTTTTTTTACTTTGTAGCATCTCTCTTTGTGTTGGGTTTTTCTAAAAGGTATATGTTAATGTTAAGAAGCCATCCAATAACAACCATTTGCATACTGAGTCATACCAGAAAGACCAGCCATAGTCCCAGTTATAAGGCCTCCAATCAGGAGGTCCCAGACTGACAGTGACCTGGAAGACCTGAGTGTACATCACATGAGCCACCATGCCCAGAAGACCTGCAGTCAAATGGAGGAGGTTAGAAACATCCAAAATCTTTCCTACTTAAGTCACTAAAAGTTTTCCTATTTGAGTCGTTAACACGCCAGTTTGAATGTTCGCCAATTAAACTTTTGGTTCAGAGCGTCTTGAACACAGAATTGGGTGCAGCATGTTAACACACATGAGCCACAACATTAATTACACACAACACAATTTAATGGCATCCAGTACAAGAGTTCTATTTGAACGGCTTCCTTTACAGGTATAAGACTACACATTATTTATTTAACATTGCTTGTTAACGAGTTTGCAGTTTGCTCTAACATACCGTATTTTCCGCATTATAAGGCGCTTTGGAGGATAAGGCGCAGCTTCAATGAATGGCCTATTTTAAAACTGTTTTCATCGATAGGGCCTTATAAGGTGCATAGAATGAATAGAAGCTACAATAGTGGCTGTGGTTGCGTTATGCATCCACTAGATGGAGTTATGCTAAAGGAATACAATATAATACAAAACAACATTATTTAAATAGAGCTTTCACAACCACTGCAGCTAAAACAAAGCACTTTTTGGGGCATTTATAATACTCCATCCAAGAAGTCGGAATATTAATCCATATATAAAGCACATTGGATTATAAACCACACTGTCGGCTTTTGAGAAAATTAAATGCTTTTAAGTGCGCCTTATAGTGCGGAAAATACGGTACTGAGAGTGTCTTCCGATGTTTATGATGAAACCAGTCCTTATAATGCTGTGCACCCATACACTTTAGCAAATGACATTAATATATTGGACACATTGCTAAATGGGGTGTATATTTGTAAATAGTTGCTCAAGCAATTATAAACAGATGGTGACAACCTGACAGCACAGTGAAGACTGCAGCAAATGCATTGAGCTTGAGTCCATCAATGATGTTGCTGGAATGGACAAGCTCCAAACACATGAGGCTGAAGCCCACCACCAGCAAAACTATGTACAGCATCTCAGAAACCAGTGACAGCCACAGCATCCCTGACAAATAAGATACACTCATTCAATGCATATAATGGACATTGTCATATTTGTTCATCTCAGCCAGAATCATTGCAAATCAAGTCACAGCATGACTGACGATCCTCTGTTTTTGAACAACATTTTTCAAGGTTTTAATGAACAAATGGTATGCATTTTCTGTTCAACATTGCAACGTTATACTTCATATATCATCATGTGATATAACTGTATATCATGATGATATCCAATGTTAAAACTCTCCTTCAAGACTTCCAAAGTCTTAAATGAAACCAAATGTAATGTGACAGCACTTATAAATGTTGTCTCTTGCTTATTCACTTTCACAATTAGTATCCAGACATACTGTATACCTATCGGAGGAAATAATTTTTTGTGATTGATCCATATGCTTAATGCTTCATTGTTTTGTCACATTTTTTTTGTTTGTTTTTGTTTTTTATTTTTACAAAACAACACACAGCATTTCATTCAACAGTAATAAATGACATGATGTGTCTCAAGCAAAACAGAGGCATTATTTACTGTCAGTCTGCCAGTGATTAGAGAATCAATGGCCTTCCTTTTTACGAGACTGAAGATAAATATTCATCCAGTTAATAATGGATGGTGTAACCACCTAATTGAACCATAATTTGAAAAGCAAGTGGGGGAAGGTGAGGGGAGGAAATGCCTGCTCAGAGACAGACATCTACAAGAAAAATTGTATAACTGTCATTTGAGGGGAACAATGGACTAAACATTTTAGCTTGTAATATGTCAAATCCATCAAAGAACACGCACCTTTCTCTGATGCAGGAGCCAAATCAATGAAGCTGCGGCATCTCTCACCTAGGACCATGAAGAATAACACGATTAACTTTGGTTGTTGTTGTTGTTGTTGTGATTTAAGCACACAGGAAGCAGTTGACATTTTATTGTACATTTCTGACACTACAAATAAAAGGGACATTAAATAATCCATGCACTTTGTAGCATGGAATTTAACCATATTATTGATTCAAAAGTGGATATGGTTTGCAGTCACTCAAAAGCAGAGGGCTATTCTTTGGCAAGAGCTGTAAGAGCAGGTTCTTCTCTCGGTGTGTTACAATCCTTTCACAGAGGACTAGAAACACTGAGCTACTGATATACTGTTTTGGAAGAAAAAAAAACTTTTTGCAATGACACGTAAAGCCTTGCGCGGCGCAAACAAAGAGATACCTCATCTTTTCAGTAGAATTTGAATTTGTTGATGGAGTTGTTGCAAAGGAACACTTTAATCAGGTAGTCAGGGGCTGGCAACAGCTGTTTTGAGGAAAAACTCATCAAGGCCGCTGTTACATAATCCTTATTAACTCAAGCTGTCTCAGCTCTCCCTCCAACATACAGCCACTTGATGAGATGGATAGACATGTCCGAGCGATGCCCTCAGGAATAATTTCAACTAATGTGTTGTTTTTCCTGCTGAGCGATGGAAAGTAACTTCGTGCGGCACAGGTCTAAACTAGTCATACAATTGTTATCACATCAAATGGAAAATGGACTTGATTTATTATTCCAGATTCCAGTGTGACAGCTACAGAGGAGTAATCTGGCCACAGAACAGCTTTGACCTTGCTTGTCATGACCTCTAAATGCACACAATGGCTTCATACTCATCCTCGCTCTTGTCCTTTAAAGGGGAAGTCAAACCAAATTATTTCTTTACAATAAAATGTTCTATGCAGCCCCACTAGTCTGAACACGGTATCCTGATTAATATTGCGTTTGTGAAAGATGACTGAAGCACCTGAGCCGTGATTGGTCGATACCTGAGCCCTGAGCAACTGTGATGTCATTTTCAGTCGACAGCAAGTGGCAAAATGGCCGCCCACCAAGATGGACGAAAATGGCTGGATTTTGCTGCTTAAGTCATATTCCATAAACGCAATATCAATCCGATTCGGAATGCCGTGTTAAGACTAGTGGGAGCACATAAAACGTATTATTGTAAAGAAACATTTGGGGTTGATTTCCCCTTAATTCCTAGCTCTGGATGTGTGTTGTTTCAATTATATTTCTCTGAGTGACGAACAGATGAGAAAGCAATGTGACTGTTGTGTTGTAGCATCATTTCAAGGGTAATGCTCATCAATTCTGGCACCCTCATTGGAAACAATTTTAAATTTTGTCGTGGATCTACAGAATAATTTATCTTAGTTTTTAAACTCCTCCAAACTGACGATTTAGTCCATGGAGCCCCCATAAAGTATGCCAAATGCCAAATTTACATAAATAGATCATTTAAATACCCACAGGACACTCTACTAAGTACACTTGTTGGAATTAAATGACGTTTAATACATAATGTATGAATCACTAATTCTGATAATACAAAGACAATAATGTTCAGTGATTGTTGTGTTTCTCCCAAAAACATGTAACTGTAACTGTAAGAATGGGTGAAAATATGATCAAAAACTCTTAGTTGCAAGCTACATAATAACAAAGCAAAAACAAGAAGGCAAACTACCACAGTAATTCCCAAGCAGGGGGCAGTGACACCCTTGTGTGCCGCAGGAGTTTGGTTTCAGAGGAGCCGCAGGAAATGTACCTATTTCATTTAATTTGTCCAAAAATTAACTACAACTCTATCTTTGTGCATCTACTGTATGTTGGTGTCATATAGTGACAGGCAAAACTATTCAATGCTCTTTCATGAGAAGGCAGAAAATAAAATAAACCTACGTAGAGTATCCACGTGTTGCCACTCATACAACAAAATAAATCAAAGCTGCTCACAAGTATATCAGTTTTGCGTTCAATTAAACAGGCCCAACATTCACACTGAGTACGTATATTTGTGAGAAAATTGAAACGGGATCCACTTTATTTCAGTATTCATACGTTTTATGACTTGCATCTGGTGATGTGCTGTGAGATTTTTATAATGTAAAATGGATTCCTCAATCCTGAAATGGATTAATGGTGTGAAACTGAACAACAATCTTAAATGAAATAATACTTTCCAGACAGTGCCAATCAACAGTAATCAGTATTATTATTATTATTATTATTATTATTATTATTATTATTATTATTATTACAAAGTATTATAAAGACAGACTTTCTGATTCAGCTCATGTCGTGGATTGGGTTAAAGTTCCAATGTTCCTAATGTTGTGTCCATTGTGTGAGAAAATCATATTTTAAGCAGTGATGAGAAGTAACGAAGCATAATACTGTCGACCAGCCCTCAAATATTGAAAATTCACATGAAATTGACACCCCCAACAAAATGCATTTTTAAAAAAAATAATAATAATATTCTTTTTAAAAAACGCTGATAAACAGTCAGTACAATAACAACAAAAATGGGGAGATGGGAAAAAATTCTGGAAAAAATGAGAAAAAACCCGAAAATATTTTAAAAATATATTGAAAAAAATATTGGGGGAAAAACATCTGCAAATATGCAAATCCACAAGTGCCAAGCTGCAAGTATGTGTGGGTTGACTGTTCTTCGTTGCTGTACTTAAGTAGATTATTCAGGTATATTACTTGAGTACAACACTTTCTTACAATCTTTTATTCCATAAATTCTTCACCACAATAGGCTTGTTCCTTTTTGAACCTGGTAAAGGGGAGGTCAATGATTGAGTGATTGATTGATAGATTGATTGAGATCTTTAGGACAAATAGAAAAAAACAGCCACATGGAGGGATGTGAGCCAGATGACATCATTAAGACGCAACAAGAGAAACAAATATATGTCCCTATTTAAGACATATATTTTTTAAGTTGTCGGCTCCAAGAAGTATTGATGGTGAATTTGATGTGCCTGGTGTCAGTCTAAAGAACCACCAGCTTCTGATGTCCAATCTGGAAAAAAAACAAGTAGGTGTATTTTTTTCAGTTGTTTCAAAGTTTTTGTTTGTTTGTTAACTTTAGGGCTGAATGATTTTGAAAAAATAATCTAATTGTGATTCCTTCAAATATTGCAAATGTAATTTCATATGCAAGTCGTCTTCCCATGTCATTTTTAACAAACACAAGTGATAAATAATTACAACAATATCAGATTCATTATATATAAATGATTTAGCCTTATTGGCCTTATAGGTCAGACTTACAGTACAATAAAAGCAAATTTCCCATGAATTAATATGAAAGAAATGTTATATACTTCATTTCATTGTGATTTTGATTGGAATTTGATTAGTTGCCCAGCTCAAATTAGTTCATGTATACTGTATATACTAATTGACTGTAACAATCACTTACTTCATTTCGGGTCTGGACTTAAAAAAAAACAAAAAAAAAAACCCTTACTTTTGCATCTATCTTTAAAGCAGTACTTCTACTTTTACCAAAGTGTTTTATACAGATATCTGGATTTCTACTTAAATGCCAAGTGTGTATTTTTACACCTCTAATTTTAGGATGTTTTAATAGATTTAGATGGAGATTTATGGGTGCGATATTGAAGGGAGGCACGCCCCTGCAACAATTCTACAACTTTGACACACACGCGGGCGCACACACGCTCACGCGCTTGGTGGTCTTACTTTCATCGTGGATGTTCTCCTCACACGAGAACCAGATTCCAGTGTGAAACTGTCGAAAGAGGAAGCGGTCGTCCCCGGTCTCCCAGCTGTAGACCACCTTGTTTGGGTCGGTCTCGTTGACGCCGTAGTCGATGCACTGGTGGGTCCGCAGTTTGCTGCATTTGGGCTTGGGCACCCTCTGCGTCCCAACGCACCAGTAAGTGGTGATGAAAGCCGTGATGGCGAAGAGCAAGGCAAAGAAGTTCAAGCCCACCGACAGAAGAGTCCTGCATCTGCGAGTTGTCTTCATTGTCTAGGAGAAGGTGGCGGCCAGTTCATGGGTACAAGTGAAAGAGTGGAGGCTATATCCCACATGCATCAAATTGTTCCACAGTTTCGGAAAGTATCCATTTCAATGCTAGACACACTCATCGCCCCCTTCGCCAAGGGTTTGCATTTGGACCCCTCTTCTATTTGACACTCGCTGGCCAATGAGTGTCTGATAGGAAGTCACGTTGTCAAAGGATTTGACTCCTGCTTGCATCCAGTATGGGATTTTCTTCTCATCCGCACGCGTTTGCGTCATGAGGATGTCTGCCCTCCCTCTTTGATATGACGTCTGAAGTGAGATAAGATAAGATAAGATAAGATAAGAAAACTTTTATTTGCCTCACAATGGAGTAATTCCCAATTTACAGCTGCAATATTATGAAAAAAAGTTCCGTTTAGGGTGTGTTGTGGGACTTTTGTCCTAATTGGACTTTATCAAATCAGTTTATTTACATTCTCTTTTCTGTCTTCACTGTGTTTCTATTTTTATCTTCTACAATATAGCACAGTTCTATTTTTCTTTATTAAAACATGTTTTGTATGTGTGTGCGTGGGGGGGGCTGTAACATACAAACATGTATTAATGGCATTTCAATTCATTTCATTGATATAAATGTACTGTACCAGTAAATTTTGTTACAAGCTTAAAGATTTAACATGACAGCTTTCTGGCAGCCCTTTTTGGCAGGTATGTAATAACCACAACTAGAAGACCACAGACCATTTGCATGCATTGGAACTTCAACTAGACTCAGCCAAGCCTGGGAAGAAAACAGTTTAAACACATGCTCTAATTTGAAACAAGTGGTTGAGTTTGTAACCTTGATTCAGCTTATATCAGAAATAATTATGTTGGTGTGTCAACAAACACCGCAACAATTTAAACAACTCATTCTGAAATGGCTTGCCTTCATGTTTCTTTTGCATTCATTGTCCATTTTTCAATTTTCTTTCGCACTTGTCCTCATTAAGGTCATGGGTGAGCTGCATGCAGCTTATCCCAGATGAGTTTGGGCAAGGGAATAGCAGAACACGTACGACAAAATATCCTGAACACAATCTATGGACAAGTAAGAGTGCGCTATCTGCTTTAATGATCTGAGTCTTCTCTACAGTACACACAGTCTGAAAAAAATATTTGCCACCGTATTATCCCCCTATGTACAAGAAACCACCACACTTGAGAAAGAACAACAGACCAGAGACAGAGGGCATGACTTACAAGATGTTATAACTTGTAAGTCTCATCATGGGCCCACCAACTACGGTCATGAAAAAAAGCAAACATCAAACAATACCGTTTGGTGTGATAGTATCATTCATTCATTCATTCATTTTCCGATCTGCTTTATCCTCACAAGGGTTGCGGGGGGTGCTGCAGCCTATCCCAGCCATCTTTGGGCAGTAGGCGGGGGACACCCTGAACCAGTTGCTAGCCAATCGCAGGGCACACAGAGACGAACAACCATCCACGCTCACACTCACACCTAGGGACAATTTGGACTGTTCAATCAGCCTGCCATGCATGTTTTTGGAATGTGGGAGGAAACCGGAGAACCCGGAGAAAACCCACGCAGGCCCAGGCAGAACATGCAAACTCCACACAGGGAGGCCGTTGCCGGAATCGAACCCTGCACTTCTGCACTGTGAGATCAATGCACTATCCACTGGTACACCGGGCCGCCCGTGATAGGATCACTCCATTAGAAAGTGCTTACCTATGGTAACAAGGCAACAGGTGAGCATGAAGCCGCGGAGTGTTCTGCAGTAGCCCACTACAGAATGCCCTTGACAATGCCAATCAAAAACCTTTTAGCACTTTTAACGTTGAAGCTATAGTTTGCGATACACAAATATACAGTTTCTTTACATCCACTGGTGACAGCAGTGGATATATGCTAGGAGACAATCCATAACGAATTCTTAGGCAATTCATCAGGCGGATGTATGAGAACTGATCCTTTAGGATTTGACAGGAAATAGTAAAGCACACACATTTCCTGACAGCTTTGCCTAAGCCTGTGGGTCACATGAGCATCGTGAAAGATCACTTAAAAAAAAAAAAAAAAAAAAAAAAGTGGTCAGAAAGGCATTGTAATGCTCTTTTGTTACACTTAATGTCAGCACAGCTGCTGTCTTTGCATGCATCAGTGTCCCAGCAAGAACAAACAGATTAAATCTACAGGATGGGACCGAGGATGTGATTATTGTCCCTTGAGGGAATCATTTCATGTCAATGAACAAAATGGTCCGAAATTCAATATGGTGCTGCATTGCTCCGGGCAGGAAAATGGATGGCTCTAAAAGGAGCTTTTGGTATTTTTCAGATGTATCCATGTCAAAAGAGATTAAGCGTGGGCAACATTGCAACTTTTTATTTGGCTTTGAATACCTTATAAAGCATATGTGGATTCAGAGTGCAAAGTTTAGGCCTAAGCTTTTGATAGACAGACTTCATTTGTATTTCTGCGGCAACTCACGCTCAAAGCTGCTAAGAGTAGAATTTTCCCCTAAACAGATAGCCCTTGAGGATTAGTCCTCATAATCTGTGGTTCACTGATCCTCGAAATCATACTGTCTGGGTGCTCAGAAATCAGCTTACAGTGACAGTAGTAGATGGTGTGCGAGTGGTTTTATGATTGCAGCTGCATGCGGGCGCGTACAGTAGCAACAAATGACAACATGACAATCGTTTAACAGGAGCAAGGGTTGGCGATGAGGAAGGGGTTGGTGGTTGGATTAGGCCATAGGTGTCAACAAATTGCAACGTTCTGATTCAAATGGACAGGAACAATATCTGGTTTCTGCAAAGCTCGCTGATGGTCTGAACATTTGAGTCAGGTGTGTTGCAACAGGGAGAGATAGAAAACATGCAGGATGGCGGCCCTCCAGGACCGGCGTTTGACACCTATGGACTAGGCCAAGGAAGATTTTTATAAACGTGATTCTGATGTGTAGATTACCGGTAGTTAGTTCGGCCTCACTGCCGCTTCCACACAGTCACATTACAGTGATGCTCTGTCATCATAATTTTACCGTCTATCTACTGTAAATAAGTGTTGATACTACTATATTGGGCTACACTCAACAGGAAATACAGTTTCCATAGCAATGACATATTTGATAATCTTGGCAAGCATTAAAGAGGAAGTCAGCCCCCAAATGTTCTTGACAATAATAAGATCAGTCAGTCTCAGTCAATCAGTCAAACTCTTCTCTTAGTCGAGATGTGACAAATGCATGAATTACTATTTCAAAGTGTTGCTGAGAAAGGGGGCTTTGCCATAGTCAGCTGCCTAAGGTGAAAATGCACTTTGTTTTGGAGGCAGCCAATCCTCCATCATGCATGTCCAGTTGATCCAAAACGTTACTGCTCGGCTCTTGACTGGTAGGTACTTCTACGATGGAGCACATAACTCCTACTCTGGCATGCCTTCACTGGCTCCTTGTACATTTGAAGAGCTCGTTTTAAGATTTGATTATTTGTTTTCCACTTTGCCTCTCTGAGCTCCTCCACACACCTCAGGTCTGCGAAACAGACGCGATTAGAGGTACTGAGGACTAAGCGAAGGCTCAGAGGGGATTGATCTTTTTCAGCCGCCGGTCCCTCTCTTTGTAATGATCTTCCACGAAACATCCGTCCTGCCTCCTCGCTGCCTATCTTTAAAACTCGTCCTAGAATTTATTTTTATTCACTGGCTTTTGACTCAGCATGATACTTGGTTTTAGTTTGACTAGTTTTGTGATTTTTTTCTGTCATTTTTATTTGATTGTTTTGATTTATGATTTATTTTTGCTTCATGTACAGTAGTGGTACTTTGTATACAGTGGTGGGTGTTTTAAAGTGCTCTATAAATACAGTTGAGTATAGGTTGATCATGATTTGCAAATCATTCTATTCTGTTTTTATTCACATTTAACACAATGCCCCAACTTTGTTGGAATTGGATTTGTATGTATGTATATATAATTACTTTTTTTGTTTGACCTAACCATTTACAGCGTTCAAATGGATCGTGACCTACTGTTCATGAGACACATTAAACCTAATTTAAGTAACATGATGGCAACAAGCCTTTAGCTGGGTCACATTAATGAACCAACACATCCTAATACATATGGTTTCCTCTAACTAAATTAAAAAGTTTGATTACAAAGATATCTGCACACCAACCAGATGCAAAATACCAGATGGTAATCAAGACAGCCTGAATGGACTACTATCAAATTAAGTTCCAAATCAATTCAAATGTTTTTCCCCCCAAAACACGATGTGACAAACTTCAATTCCTTGCAACAATAATCTGCCCTGATGGAATTTTCTTCGAAAACACTCAAAGGCAATCCACCGTACACTTTTCACCCTTTCAAACAGCAAATAAGTGCAACCAATCTGGTCAATGTTTAAGAGACACGCTTATATGTACATTCATTACAATTTATTTAGGGCATTAATTACATTTTCTACACTTCATTTCTTTAGTTCCAGTCAAAGGAAACGTATTTGCATTAAGCATCGCTTAGTAATGTCAAACATATAACAGAAAGGGAGATTTTGCTATCTGCACACTGAAAAGGTGACAGGAGTGGAGACAGGGAAAAAATAAAAGCAAGAACATTTGGAGGCAGACACTCGGTGGATGCTGACAGCTGAACTGGAATGTCGAGTCAATTCCTTGTGTTCTCCCCAACGGTAAAGTGGGATGTTGACAGGTCTACGCAGAGCTGGTCACAGCCAGTTTTTTCAAGTGGTCCATGAAAACCTGCAGGCTGACGTCATCAGTCAGGATTGGTGCTCCAGTCTCCTGTAGTTGCACACCAAACAAATATGATGAAAACAGTGATGAGCGTGAGCCCCCACCCCACCGACTCATTCAGACTATCCAATCTCATTTATGACTGTAATCCTTGAATCACTTTAATTGAACTAAGTGCATTTGTCACGAAGATTAGCTTATGCAAATGCTCTTGGCAATCTCAATCTAAGGCTTCCAGAGCCAAACTTCCATATCAGGCAGTTCTTTCTTGATTTGGCAAATTGGAGAATAATTCTATTTTCATTTTACCCTAGTCTCCATTTAGGATAAGAGGCTGGGTAATCCACGATCCTGCACTTGTTGACAGGTTTACTTTGAAGTCTCTCTTGCTAGAGATGCTTCTGTATCTTAAAATCTTTCATTTGAGGAGGGGTGGTATCATTCAGGAAACGGTTAACCAGTTGAAAGCTCTCTCACTATTTTGACAATTCCTCTCACTGGAGTAATCATCAATTTTGTTAACAATGACTGTACTCAAACATCTATTTGGCTTCACTTTTTCTGTCCACCATGGGGGCCTTGATCACGGCTCATTTGCAGCACAGTGTCCCTTTCATACTGACATCTCTCCTCACATGTGTAAACAAGCAGACACGTGTGTGTGTGTGTGTGTGTGTGTGTGTGTGTGTGTGACATCTGGATTTCAGTGTGGTGTGCTTTTTTGTTGTTGTTGTTGTTGTTGTTATTAATAGACATGGCTTTGGCCTGAGCATTAAAACTGCAAATAATAGCAAAAAGGCAGTTTTTGAGTAAATGTGTTCCCAAAACGATCTGCTAATAGGAGAATTTGTGCAATGCCAAACCATAGATGAGTAGTTTTACAGCAATAAAATAAAAGTCAAAAAGGGTACCTGTCCCCAAGCGTAGAGGTTGTTGTGGGTCTGGGAAGGGTTGACCTTTGAGAGCAGGAAGCGGGCCTGCGAACCTCCATGCTCTGTATCGACATAGCGAGGCATGGGAAAACGTGTCTGTAGAATCTCCTGCGCGTCATCCAAAGGTGCCTGTAGCAGCTGTTTGAAGTTTTCATACTCGGCCATTTCCTGGTATCCTGCTTTTCGCCACTGGGCTATGGTCTGGGGACAAAAAGGCAAGGAAAACAGATGTTAGGCAACTTTTAATGGAATCACCTGTCCAAAATCAAAGTGTCTAAGCCAGAGAAACTTTCAAACTAGCCAAAACTAATGAAACACAACAAGGTTCCCACTCTTTTCTTGAAATGATTTTCCAGGACTTTCCGAGACTTTTCCAAGACTTTTTCATCTGCTACAGTACGAGTCAAGTTATCACAACATACAATAATACATAATTCAAGCCCCAAGCTTTGGTTAAGTGTTACTTTCTGCAATTGTATCCTATATTTTTTACTTTTACCAAATCAGCCAAACAAACAAACAAACAAAAAAATAAATAAAACATCCCTCAAAGTTGCAATTCGGTTCTCATCATTGACCCCAAAAGAACTGCTAATTCGCAAATGTCCCAACACAAAAATAAGCTAATTTGAAGGTTGCCATTGAAATTACTTTGCATTTCTAAGTAAATCCAGATAATGGAATTAATCTGATTGACTAATGAGCTGGTTTGAGAGAGGCCAAAGCCCATGCTAACAGCTAGAGCAGAGATGAAGCAGAAAAGTGCTACGGCTTAATGTTGCCCACTGAATGGAGCTGAAAACAGAAATACATGTCTCTTTAACCTGTTTGCATTCAACCACATGGCACAGAGAAACAGAATGTGGGAAAATAATTTTCCAGTACATTTCCCAGTTTTTTCCTTTTTCCAATGTGTTTTCCATGATTCGAAAAATAATTTCCAGATTTCTCCGGACGCATGGGAACCTTGCAAAAGCCTTGCTTTTTTAAAAATTATTTTGTCCATTAGAATAAATTCAAGCAGAAGAACACATTTCAATGTATTATCGTCAATGTTTTACGTGTTCTGTTGTATGATTTTTATTTTATGTTAAATGTTCTGATGTAGTGGATTGTATTCTTCCGAGTACCTCTCCATGGTAGATAACAAGCTGAAAGAAGGTGTCCATCAGCAAAATTCGATCTGGAAGGATGCTGCTGCTGTCCAGGAGTACAGGCTGAGGAGGAGAAGAATCGCTGATGTCTTTTGTTTTTTTTTTTAAATGTTCACATTTACATAGCACAAATCTCCACATCTCACAAGGATCAAGAGTCTAAAACGTGTAAGGCTGACCTCTGGTGGGCCATGAAAGGAGTAGGAGTAAAGGATGGGCTGGATCATGATGAGCGACTGTGTCAGGTCCTGCCTGACAAAGTGGTGCCTGTAATAAGAGGACTCATCTGGACTGTTGTTGAACACTTGCAGGAAGGGCGACCGCCGCAGGTGGAACATAAACTGCAAGTTAGAAACAAGACATCATGAAAATGAGTGTCCCATTCACGGACATGTAGACATTACATTTCAAATCCAGTAAATAGCTTTATCAAACATTCTGGCGGTGTTTGTTTTAATATTATTTATTCTCTATTTACTTACATGACAGTGCATTCAATCAAACACCTCAATAAATACTCATCTGACAAGCAAACATAGCTTTGGAAAGGGAGAAAGTATTGATTGCATTTGATTGTGCAGTTGGCCCTAAGACCATTCGGTATGTCAATTAAATTCCTTACATTAATCTTGTTTTTCTTTTTTTAAGAATCACTCGCAGATGTGTGTAATGTACCTGAGGGTAAAGTGACAGGGACTCTGACAGCTTGAAGGACGTCGGATCATCTTTATTGAATTGACCAAACTTTTGGCACTGCAACACGTGAAAGCATACATGGGAAAAATAGAACCATAGAGTAATTTTTCTCATTTCAGATTAATTGTGCAGTGTTCTTCACATTCTGCGATGAGTCACTCACCAGGCGAATTAACTGCCTGTCGAGCCAGCGCAACACATCGGGCCCCTCCTCCGACTCTGCTCGGAAGACGCCCAGGCGAGCCATGAGCACAGCGGCTGCTTCTTGATCAAATGATGACTCAATGTGCTGAATTTGGGACTGTGCATCTGCCCAGCTTGGGTGGGGACACATATGACAAGAAGACACTGTGGGTACAGTTAAACACAGGTGTGGTGCAGGTAGGGCCTGTCACAATAACATATTTTAATGATGATTAGGGTTGGGCCTGTCACAGTAACATTTTAATGATGATACATGTTCCTAGAAAAGATCACAATAAACGATAGAATCATTGATCATGTTTTTTAATGATATTAGAGCATCATATTTGAATTATATTCTTTTGAAGAGCAACTAACTTTAAGTTGCAAGAATATTGATTGCTGGCAGTGAAACGCAGAACAGAGTGATAACTCCAACAGAATGTCCTCTTTTTGCCCATGTACAAGGCTATAATGTCTGTAATATTCCCTCTGAATTTCCATGAGAGCATTCACACAAACTCCCTGAGCGTTCTTAGAACCACGGTGAGCAACAGATATGCACACGGTGCTCAAACTAATATCATACCTGTCCAAAACCTGAGATCATAACACATGATGTGATATACAGGGAGGTACTAAATGTGACAAAAAAAAAAGTTAAACCGCCTATATTTTAATCGCTTTATAAGAGGAGGATATGAAAAATACAAAAAGCGCAAACAGCTCTGGTTTGATTTTTTTTTTTAATGTGCTGCATACATTTCCTGTGTGCTGAGAAGGTGAAAACAGTACGCAATTGCGCACAGGTGCAGCTTAGAGGGAACATTGAATGGCTGACTGAGAATTTAAAACATACGTTTTGTTTTTTTTCACAATTTTAGCAGACAGGCCAAGTACACCTGCATAAGATTGTTTGTTGTATCAATAATAAAAAAGTGTTCTTACTTCCTGGCAATTGTGGTGACACGTATCCTCCTCTGAGTGTTGGAATGCTGGTATTGGGTTACAAACTGGACTGCCCCCCGGCCACCCTGTGGGATTGGTGCATTGTGCTGCATACAACGAGACGGCACATAACTATGAATTCGCCACAAGACTACAGTCGTACCTCTTTTCAACATACCCCATTTACGTTTCCCCCCTTCTAACGTTCACAATTCAAAGTCCAGATTTCACGTAACTCATTTTTCATTTGCCAATTTTGCGAACAACGAACACCTTTATAATGTAAGCCTCCTTATTGGCCATTTTAGTGGAAATGGTTACAATGAATTACCGTTATAACGTACAGATTCGTTATGTCCCTCGAGATACGTTGTAGTGAGGTTCGACTGTACTGTATTAACTAATGTTGTGTTTACTCAGTCAAAATAAATGAATATTCCTGAGCTTGAGGCCCAAGCAATTTTGCTTTACCTGATTCACCACTTCAAAATAAATGCCCAAAGTGGTGGAAGGACTAAGACTGCACACTTTCCACTGGCTTGTGCCACCAACGCCCATCTCCTACACAAAACAGTGAATTGTTAAGAGTGACAGCGAGCTCCCAAATAACAGCAATAGAATACAACGACTTACATTCTCGGACACGCAGGAGCCCTTTGAGTTGAGCGATACGCAAGGTCCAATGGCCCCGCAAACCTTCAGTTCTCGTGAAGTCTGCACAGACACATTGACACATTTGTAAAGCTTTGGAATACACAATCATGGAAACGTGACCACTGATCAAAACGTCAACATTATTCACTTCTATATTGCTTGCAGAAATAGACTCAGTTGAAAATTGTGAGCACAAAATCACTTATTTACCTTGACCTCCATGATGCCTCCGAAGGCCATGCGGAAGTCGCCGTTATAATCTTTGTTGAAAACTCTCTGGAAAGTTTGCTTGAACAACGAGGTATTGAAGGAGTCTCCCATGACTATGTGTCCCCTGAGAGTAGAGCAGAGACCATTCTCATCTTTTCATTACTTGCAGCTTACATTTTAAGTAATAGTACTGAATGTGTAATGCAGACTAGAAATGCATATTGTTTGGTTACAGTGTTTACGTTTCATTCATTCATACAAAAAACAGCACACATTGTCCATCTTCTGTTCTGTACACTACCTTGCTAAACGAGAATAGATCGCAAAAGGAAGGAAGAGTGGAATACCTGTCTGTTTGCATAGTATTATGTGCGTAACACTCAAATAAACAATCCCGCAGCCATCAAATGTTTGGCTGTCATTTGCTGACGTACCCAGTGAGATTAGATAAACATTTCATTTCCAGCAGCCCAGTCTGGTCCAAAGCACAGGCGTAGATGTCAATACTGTGGCCGTTTACTGCTGATCGGTTGGCTAAGGCTTCATAGTACTACATTTAAAAAAGAATATGAAGACAGTGGGGATTTTATTTATTGTATCAGGTTGAGTCCAAAAAGAGCTTATCATTGAACACCGTTAGCCATGTTTTGACTCACCTTTGTAGCCTTCTTCAAGTGGCGAGCGTTATCCTTCTGGATGTCATGCCAGGAGCGGATGGGGGTTTTCAGCTCGTCTCCCACCACCATTCCGGGGCCCTGAGTGGGGGGCCCGCCGATGAAGAGCATGACGCGAGCACCAGTGTTGGGGAATGTGCCCTAAGAGATTGTTACCACATAAGTTCAAACATCAAGTGCAATAATCACATTTAATTAAACAGCGAACATGAGCACTGAACATGACAGCTGCGACGTTTAATCACTCAATCTATAAGCAAATTCATAGAGAATTGTTTTAACTGAGTAATTATGTCCGGACCTTGTTTAATTTTAAAAGATAGCACAAATCCTTGAAATTTCAGTGCCTTAACAAGACATTTGCAAACATCAGATTTTACTTTGGAAAACAATGGACAGCAATTTTGTCTATTTTCTGACATGTTACAGCACAAATCAGTAATTGAATCATACAAATCTATTTATATTTTCTGCACTGTCAATTTGAAACATCTTGTTTTTAAAATCTGTTGATTGACAAAATAATTGAGATGAATGGATTATTTAAGTTTTTTTTTGTTGCCTAGTGAACACTTAGAATTTTATTCGTGACATTGTTTTGTATTACAGTATTATTTATACAATGCAGCGCAAGAGATGTGCACAGGTTTTCAAGTTTTCCATTAGAACAGGCATGTTGAGAGAAGGGATTCTTGTTGATGCCAATATGAATACATGTTGAAAGCAAGGTCTTCCAGGAAACCAGTTTAAGCAAAAACAGCCCCTAGGAATATGCGAAGATGCAGAAACATACACTTGCATGTTTAGTTTAGGTTATGTCAGAATAAATATAAGAAAACCTCATCGTAGTGAACAATTTTTTTTTGTCGTTGCTGCCTCACAAGTTTAAGGCTGGCATGCCTCTGGACAAACAATCCAGTGTGAAGTCGTGGCCGAAACCTAAATTTAATCTAATCAGGCCTCTTTGCTTGGCTAAAAGAGAGCGGTCGGTTGCACTTGCATTACATACTCATACAGATTAGAGGATAATGACGGGTAAGGGGAAAACACAGAAGGCAAACAGAACTGGCCTTTGAGCTAGAGAATTACATGTATCGTTTCTGCACAAGATAAAGATTCTGCAGAGAGTGCATCACTGAACAGCAGCACGTGGAAGAATCAACAGAAAGAGGCTAAAGTTCAGTGCACACGGCGCTTCCTTAAAAATGACTGCTTACACGGTGAGATCCAAAAAAGAAAAAGCTTTCATTTTGCAGATTAAATATGATCACATTCTAGTTCACCTTCGTTAAAAATAAGGCACTTTATCGTGTAGTAAAGGTTTGTGCACACAAAATGACTGTGAACGTTCCCTTGCACTGCATTTACATTACACAACGACATTCAAACATTTTTTTAAAGATTAGCCAAACATTTGTTTTCTCATTTTTATGACATTCTAATAAATTGGGTACGGACAGTAAATGCATCATGAAACTTTTCTCTTCCATAATGGGTCAATTTCTTATTTAATATTGATATGATATTCACTTTGTAGCTTTGGTAATCAGGTTATAATACCTCCAGCAGACCAACAGCAACAGACAGCGCAACACCAGTAGATCGGAGAGGCCTTTTACCCTGGGGAACAGGCCAGGGGTCTCTCTGGAGCTCCCCCAGTAAATCGGTCAGATTCATATCAACTTTGTGCACAGGCTGAAGGAACCTGAATATCAAAGATGAGACAATTGTCATTTTAAATAGTGGGACTTTTAGAAACTGTTTCAATTCACTAAGGGAAAGCAGCAAATGGGGTGTTGCTACTCCTTCATACCTGCAAGAGGCTGCAGCATCTTGAGGTGCAGGAGGGCGCCCTGGCTGTCCTGCTACAGAAGGCTTTGTTAAACCCAACATCTCCTGAAAAAATGAAGAGATTTTGTTGAGTGTCATTTTTGACATTTTGTACTATCGGTGTATTCAGCAGTACATACAACGAATGATGGCACCAAAGTCTGCTTCAAGGCAAGTGTGAGCCGCAGGCGTGTTTATATTGACTTAAGTTGTAGGGGAAACAGCCCTCTGGAGTTAAACACAATCGAAGTGTGCAAACCGCTGTCGGACTTGGTATCAGGAATTCTTCTGAAACTCACCTTAGCAACCATCTCTCGGTCTGTTTGCCATGTACTCCAGCTTTTTTTTTTTGTTTTGTTTTAATGTCAATAGTTACAGTGAGAATCCTAATTCATCACCGTCTTACGTCACCCACCTGAATCTGTTTAGAGGTGAGATCCTTGGTGCCCCTGAATACGTAGCTCTTGGAGATCAACTCGCAACTAAGCTCATGAACCTGCACCATTCGCCCGAAAGTGATGAGGCCCACTAAAGCATTGGGAGGCAGAAGACTGAGGGACATCTGAAGGGACTCTTTCAAAGCCTGGAGGTCTTCTTCTTCCAAGCACGTGTCTACTACATAAAGGAAGATCAGTGGAGCTGAGGGTCCGCGCTGTAAAAAGGAGAAAATTGCACATGATTCAGTGTTGTTTAGGAATGTGTGGTATGCTAATGTCCAAAATAGAATGTCAATGGGTCACATTGTACTATCCGTCGGTCCATGCATGAGATGTGGTCACAGTAACAAAGTGTGTTGCATGTACCTGTACTATGTACTCAATGGTGGAAAACTGTGGCATGAGTTCAGCTGGTTGGTTCACTTCTGATATTCCCGCATAGGAAGGAGGGAACTGCAAACATACAGAGATGCATGTAGGCAAAATAAGTAAGACATAGCTACGTATGCTTCAAAACATCCTGCGATCATCAGTACTTACAGGGTTTCTCTGGAAGCAGAAGTTACAGGCCCAAATCTTTGCTCTGAAGTCAACTTGACTGTTACAAAATGGATAAAAAAAAACAAAAAAACAAACGGGTTTGTTATGCATCCAAACACAGAAAGAATAATGTGCTATACTTTCTATGGCCAAATTGGATTTCGGCCGTCGTTGCTGTTAGTTAATGATGAGTAAATATACGACATATAATGGAGTAAACATGAAATACTAGATGTCTTTTTCTGCTGTGCCCGAGACAGCACACTGGAACAAAAACATAATGATTATGAACAAAAGCAATAATCAAAACCAGGAATCACTGAATAGTTTAGCATGCCACATCCACTCTGCAAAATGCAACACTCCACCCATTGACACCAGGCTACCATATGTTTCAGGTGAAAAAGCTAACAAACGGAATTGTTTTGATCATTTGTAAATAAATAATGTACCTTAATATTTATTGTACACTGGAAGCACTTAAGTCAAATTCAAATAGCATAATTCTGAATTCAACGAAAATGTTTGAAGAATCTAAACTTATACTGTATACCTATTTTCTTTCGCTTCAAGAGGCTTTTTTGAAAACTCCCAAAAACAAACAAAAAAACTCGAACTGCTGTCATGCATGATGTCAAATCAGCACACAGCATACTGAATTTCGGGAAAGCGTGATATGCTTTTGGTTTGTTTTGTGACACTTATTCCAAATGAAGAACCCAGTTTCAACAAATAAGAGTTTAACCAGCGAACACAATATACATGTACAGTAGATATGATATTGCATTAAAAAAATCTCACATCAGTATCATGCCAGAATTTTCTTTTAGCTCTTAATATTAACAATGGAAAATGTTTTAGTTACACCTTGTTGGCCAATCACAAAAGGTCAGCAAAAAACTAAAACTACAATAAAGTAGTTAGTAAACACTTTGTGCAGGTGTAACTTACCACAGCGGATTGAGCACTGCTTTGCAGTTGGCTCGGCTGCACATGACAGGCTCATATTGGACTGGGGGCAGGTCGGGCCTTTCCTTGAGTGGTGTGAAGAGACACGAGACAGGCACCACAAGCCTGGTCGCTTCTAGTCGGCTGGAGGGCCAAAGATTCCAACTGAATCTCACGCCATCCCGGTCCTCATTCTGTTGGATGAATTCCTGGTAGGTGGCCATCAGCAAGCTTCAGAAGCGTAGAGGGTCAACAGAGGACAATATGAAGATGACACACTCACACAAAACCTGCTTCTAGTTTTATCTAGTCTAAAACAAACAGTACAAATGTTTGCATTACATTTCAATGTCTAATTTGAAAATATGACGCACAAATGCACCTCAGAGAAACCTGATCAACGAGTTATGGTGAGTGTGTGAGACATTTTACTAATGTTTTACTCCACCTTTGTTTGTGTGTGTTACTGAAATTTTGTTACGCCTTCAGCAAGGAAATTATTATCCTTCTGCTGTAACAGGAAACTAATTGCTAGTAGAGGACACACTGTTCGCATGCCCAAATGTGGAGCGGAAAAAATACGCAACTCAAGAAAATGATGTTTGGGTTCTCACGACTTGTGGTCTTAACTTGTTACTTAATTTATTACCAGGATTTTTCTAGGGTTGACACATTTGAATAAAGCCATCTCTTTAAAAAATATTGAATGTGTTTGCTCACAAAGGACTCAGATGTCAACATTTAATTTTCCTCGCAATAGTAGCCTATCAATTTCTGTGGATTTATTGCTACATCCGCATTGCCTCGTTACATTGCCGAGATGTGAACGAACAAGTTGAAGGACGAAGAATTGAAATTCAAATGTCGGTATTAGTACATGACATACAATTCGGCAAGACATTTTCAGTCTTTAAATTACTCATGGACGACACCGTCTGAAAAAAAAATCGAAATAACATAAACTATCAGAGGGTGTACTAATACTATACTGCAAACGTAATGTTCTTGAGCGTTGAGCATAACAAAAAAATCTTTCAGATTTGAAGCCTTGACACAGAAAGTGTTGTGCAAGGAAAGGGTTTTGCCATCCTAAAGTACTGTACACCATCAACGTCCCATACAGTACACGAGACCGAACACTTAGTGTTACACTTCGAATACAAAAGGTAACAAAAGCCTTATCGTGAACGATATATACTTAAAATTAGTCCAAAAAAGAAAACAAAACGTTTTCTATCCGTGGTTTGCTAACACGACCTGTAACCGAATGTAGGTGTCCGGTATGCTACACCGCTAACGGAATTTATTTAGCATTAGCCCATCTTCTGACAACCCCTCCAATCTGCTGTACATTGTCTCGTGGATGAAATCATCTTACCTTTAATATCAGAGTGACGTCCGTATCAGCGTTTATTCTATTAAAACAAATGCAACATTTGGACCTCAAAAACACAAGATGGACAAGCAACAGAACACAGGAGACTGCGAATGTTCACGACTAGCCGGCTTGTGCTCTCTGTAAAGTGACGTGTAACTCCAAGCTTCAACAGTTCCAATTGGTTTCGATATCAATGACGCAAAACGGGCGTATCCGCACGCATTCGGAACAGGAAGTTGCCGTCCACACAACGCGAGTGATGGTGCATTCCGACTCTTGTCAGAAGTCGGAATTTCTACATTTAGTCAGGAAATAATATTTACAAACTCTGACTCTAGCTTCCAGGATCAATCGAAAGTAAAACTCTTTTCCATGTTTAATTAAAGTATTGTAAGACACGCAATTGAAATTTGACCATTATCAGTGTCTTTGACACTTTACATTTAAAAATACTTTGTATGGTTGTTATGTAATCATATACTGTACTGTATCTGATTCGGGATACATGCATGTCATTACTGTATACATTTGATAAATGTCTACTCATCAGAGTCGTCTCAGAAGTGAACTAGCAGCAGAATATTGGTCAGTAACATAAAACAAGCAAAATGTTTCTATTAAAGTTGTTGATTATTGATTTAATTATATTGTATAAGCAGCTCTATTTATTGTTGCACTTTGTCATTTTTTTTCGATTGAATTATTTTTGATCGTTGTTGTTACAGTTTTTGGAAACCGGCGTATAAACCAGATGCCACTTGTACAGCAATACATAGCACGAGTACGCGATACTGGTTCATTTTGTTACTTTTAATAGACCTAGTTATTCAGTACCTCATTTATTGTACTCTCACTTGATTAAAAGCAAAGGCATATCACGGGGTAAAGGCATATCACGCTGACAGAATAATAGAATAATGTAAAGACATGCACGGCAGGCTGATTGAACACTCTAAATAGTCCTCAGGTGTGAATATGAGCGTGGCTGGCAACCGGTTCAGGGTGTCCTCCGCCTACTGCCCGAAGACAGCTGGGATAGGCTGTCTAGAGGGCGCCAAATTATTATTATTATTTTGCGGGCGTAAATCGGTGATATCATCCAAAAGAGAATGCAGAGACCCTTCTTTCACTAGTTAACAAGTATCCCTATGCTTTCAAGTTCAAAATCAGCAGCTTTAACGGACGGTCCATGTAGAAGCAAAGACAAGCATAAAACACTGGAGGACATTAGATGGCGCTGCGACTACTCTTTATTTTTCATGACACAGAGCGAGAGAGAGAGAGAGAGAGAGAGAGAGAGAGAGAGAGAGAGAGAGGTGGTACAGACGGTGACCACGGACTCTCCTCACCAGCTCTCATTGTGCGAGCAGGCGTGATCCTGAAGGCTCACTATTTCTTACTCGCGAACTGTAGCTGGGGGGCCGAGGGGAAGCAAAGTGAAGAGAGGCACCACCTCGACCGTAGGGATGTTGCAGTGACGGCAGAGCGTCCTCCCAGCACTCAGCCGGCATCGTCAGCTGTTGCGCCTGCAGTGTGGTGAGCAGCAGCCGTGTCGAGAGCAAAGGCGGTGTCGAAAAACTATGCCACCGATGTTAAGACGATAACCTTCATCCACGAATCAATCGGCGAGCTGATGCGAGCAGGGACTACCAGCAAACCGCTGAATATTTTCCGCCCTTTGGAGGAGCTGTGCCAATGGAGAAAGCGACTACACCGCCCCAGCCTCAGGTGCAGCTGTCAATAGCCAAGACCGACAGTCCGGCGGACGACGTCTCCGGCTTATCCGATGAGGACCTGCTCAAGTGGACCAAGGAAGACCTGGTGAGGCGTCTGAGACGCTCCGAGGCCGACAAGATGAGCGTGATTCTGGACCACGGAAATCTCATCCGAGAGGTCAATCGCAGCTTACAGTTGCACTTGAACGAGATCAGGGGGCTGAAGGTGAGGAGGGGAGCATTTCGTGAGGGATGAGATCATGTAGCTGTAGCATTAGAGCGCACCTGAGTACACGCACAGTAGTGGGCGTGATGAGCTGCAAACATGGTATCAGACTCGAGGTTATCCCGAAGTTCATTGTGCCATTCTGTGGGTCTGCATTTGATTACTTGTACAGAGAGTACAGTATGTAGCTTACAAATAGTCCAAGTGCACATTATAGCTTTATTTAGCGACAGTATACTCAACCTCTGGCTTTTCTGTAAAATTGTATTTTATTTTATATTCTTACAAACGTTTTAGAAAAATCTTGTGCATCTTTTGTGATTATACCATGACAAAAAGGCACAATGTGGACATTGTTTACAGTTTAAGCAGAAATCCAGCCTGGTGCAGCATCACTTGAGAATCATTTGCCTTTCTAGGAGACATTGTCACCTTCCCACCCATCCAAGCTGCCTAATTACAATGGAAAGAATTGGAGGCAATAGGGAAACTAGAGACCCGGAGAGGACCAATTAAAGAGAGTTAAATTGTTGCACAAAGAGGAATGAAGGGGAATCCTTGCTAGAGGTGAGAAGGTTACGTTTAAGGGCATAGCACTAAGGTTATATGTTGCACCGTCTTATAGTTTTACCTGAGGGTGAGGCTCCTACAGATCTTTGTGATGTATTGTATAACGAATGCCACACAATGAGTCAGTGCATTGTTGGGTAAGAGAGAAAGAATGACGATATTATTTCAATATTATTGCATGCAGTGTTTCATATATTCAAGAACCATGCAATGGAATTACAGTGGAAATCATGGTAGCACTGTACTTTGACGTACAGACAAATAATTTAACATTGTATCAAAACACAAACACATTTAGAATGTCTTCTGTCTCTGATTAGCATTAACAATGCAGCCAGTCTTCCTCTCATGTTTCTATTTCTCCCTGTCAGGACATCAATCAGAAGCTACAGGAAGACAACCGCGAACTGCGAGACTTGTGCTGCTTCTTGGATGATGACCGGCAAAAAGGAAAGCGAGTGTCCAGGGAGTGGCAGCGTCTGGGCCGTTACAGCTCGAGCATTATGCGCAAAGAGGTGACCCTCTATCTCCAAAAACTCAAGGAATTAGAGCTTCGACAGGAGGAGGTCATCCGCGAAAACCTGGAGCTCAAAGAGCTCTGTCTCCTCCTGGATGAGGATAAAGGAATAGTAGGTGGAAGTGGAGGAAGTGGTGGGAGTGTTGGAATATGCGTGGGGTCCCGAAACTCCATAGACAGTCAGAATAGTTTGCTGCTGGTTCCCGGGCAGGGGCTCCTAATGAGGGATGTTGGGGATGGGAGCAGCACCTCTAGTGCAGGGAGTGCTGACAGCTCAGATCACCATCAGCATAAGCAAACTCACATGGCTGTTGGAGTGGGCGGTCTCGGAATTTCAGGGGAAAAAGGGAGTCCTGAGCTGATGCATAAACCCAGATGTAGCAGCATCAGTGCCATAGGAGGAGCAATGGCAGACAGGGAGGTGTCTAGCCCTGACCACCCGGCTGGGCGCAACCGGAGCACAAGTCTGGAGTACCCGTACACTTTGCCCCAACTCTGTCGACCACGTTGCGGCTCGATATCAGTGCCTGACCACAGCCGGGCCATGCGAGGCTTGAGCCCAGAGAAATATGGAATGAACGTGGGAAGGAGTAGTCCAGAGCAGCATCCAAAGCACTACAGCTCTGACCTTGTTTTAGGCCAGAGGCAGCACTACTTGAGCCAGGGTGGCAGCGGTGACCTCTACCAGAGGCACCACAGGAGCAGCATTAGCAGTACCGGTTGTGAGAGCCCTGAGCCTCGACATGCACATTTAGGGACCGGTGAGCACGTTGAAAAAAGTTGTGCAGTCCAAGGGGGCAGTCCTGAGACTCATAGGCACCAATACAGTTTGAGTCCTGACCATGGGAAGTTTGGCAGTCCAATTAGAGACGCGCAGAGGAGGTCCGCTGGAGATGAGTTGTCACCCCATCATCGGAGCATCTATAACGGAATGAATGGTACGTTTACATGCATGTGAATGAATCCTTTGAATGAAATGAAATATTGTCAATTTTAAGAACCTCACAAATGCAGTGCCAGATCGATTAGGGTGATGGGAGTTTGGCACTTTACTTGCATTTTGGTCCAGAAAGCAATGTGGCCTTAAAGCGGAAGTCAAAGACCAAATCTTCTTTCCAATTATATTTTGTACGTTCCATGCAACTCCACTTGTCTAAACATGGCATTCTCATTGACATTGCATTTGTGGAATATGAATTCAGCAGCAAAATCCACCGGTTTTGATCAATCTCAGCCATTTTGCTACTTGCTGTCAACTGAAAATGGCAACAAAGTTGCTCAGGGCTTCGGTAAATATCCATCAAAGATTGCTCCACAAACACAATTTTACAAAGCAATGAGAATACTGTGTTTAGACTACTGGGGCTGCATATAACACATTACTGTACATTACTGAAAAGAAAATTTAACTTCCCCTTTAAAAGATCCCAAACAACCCAGATGAAATTTTGTTGTTGTTGTTTTTTTTTTTAAATCTGTATTCAAAAGATTCAATTGTGACATGTTGTCCACCCTCCAAGGCACACAACTTGTTCTTGGAATAATTCTTAAGAAAAAAAACCCCAATTGGAATTCCTCAATTTTATTTCACAATGAACACATGAATGAACAGTGTGACTTTGGAACGGATTTCTTCATAACGGTTTATGAATAAAGCCTAATGTTACGAGCACTCAAACCACAAATGTGCAAAGTTATTATTCATGGTAAACAGTGTGACAAGTTATTATTCATGGTGCAATTTTAGGAGATCATATTGTGGGATGAATATCAAAAACAGCCTACCAAGTTGGCCGGTGTTAAAGTTGGCCGATGTTAAAATACCCCACAGTGGCTGATAATCATTTCTGGAGTCCGGGGGAAAAAAGGTGCTGAGTGCCACAGAGCTGGCAGACACTAAATGTGTTCTCAAGGTGAAATGCATGCTTGTCTTTGCAGCAGTAATAATACTACAATAATATTTTTTAAAAATGGAGAGAAAAGACAAAACACAACACAATGTCAAAATTTCATAATGTATGCTAAACATGCATAACTTTATGGAGGATGTACAACACCCATTTGTATTTTAAATCATCTGTAGTTTCTATTGTTACCATTATCTTTAATTTATTTGAGTGCCCTGATGTTAAAACATTAAATTGCTCTGGATTCATTTTAAACTGTTTTGCTCCAGAGATGATTGTCTAGTACAGTTGTAACCCCCCCTGGTCATTTTGCAATCTCTGTGGATTGCAGTGGATTATTGTAAAGACACACACAACTTTTCATTTGGGTCATCTTCCTGTTTCTTCTTTTGGTGGAGGCCAAAGTGCACTCCCTAATGTGGTATTTTCCAGTATATCATTCTTGAATTGATGATATGTTTGCAAAGTGTATTGCCATATTACTTCTTAATTGTCAAATTTAAGTGCTCAGGACACTCACTGACTTTCAGGTCTGGTGATTTGCCAATTGGCAAAGCAGCTGTGAATTGAACTCGAAGAGAAACATGTGCAGCAAATAGTGTTTATCCAGGTCCATATGGACTTCATTAAACCTGCTACCATGAGTTAGTCATTACAGTGAATGAGTTGTGATAAAGTCATATTGTATAATGGCTATTTGTTACCCTGGTGACTTATCTACCAAGAGCATGACCCCTCTGGGACTGCTCTCTCTTCGCCGGCCTCACAAAGGCACATCAATCGACAATAATATTTTCACTTAGATCATGATATACTGTACAGCACTGACTAAAAAATCTCTGCGAATGAATGATGAATGGACTACCATTGATGTTCACGTAACGGCTCATTGTTGTTTTTTTAGGTGAACCTAAAGCACATATGTCAAAGTGCCGGCCCGCGGGCCAAATCCGGCCCGCGAGAATGTTTTCAGTGGCCCCTGGGATGATATTGATTTATTATTAGAACCGGCCCGCGGACCGCAGCAAGCCGAGAGCCCGCAGATCTTTTACACGCACCAAAACTACATTTCCCACAATGCAACGGTGACGCGCCAAGCAGTCGGCCGCTTTATTTAAATATTTATTCGTCTAGCAGTCGTTCCCATAACAGTGACATTAGCTTTCACATACCCATCAAAAATGGCAAAACGGAAGGTGGACACTGAGAACCGGGGGTTTCAAACAAGGTGAGAGTCGAAGAACATGTTCATGGACGTAGCTGGAAAACCTGTGTGTCTTCTGTGTGGAGAAAGTGTGGCGCGATTGAAATAGTGTAATCTGAGACGACATCATGAAACGAAACACGCAAACAAGAACATGGACATGGAGGGGGAAGGGGGATTTCATTAAAAACGGTATACTTAAAGTTTGTGACGAAGTTTACCCCGAAAAAAAGCAACTCTTTTTAAACGTGAGCATTAGCAGAAACACAATGGCAGTGTTTC